AAAAAAAAAAAAAAAAAAAAAAAAAAAAAAAAAAAAGAAATCATTCCTGGGAAAAGAAAACTCAACTTGACCTAAAAGTTGAACCAGCCGATGGAAGGCGTGGCCCACGGTGACCCATCCCAACTCGGCTCGACTTGACTCGGTTTAACTCGGCCGGGTCCACCTAGTCCACTCGTTAACATTTTGTTTTTTTTTTATTATTATTCTTGGGCAAATTTATATTTTAAATTTATTTTATTTTATTTTATTAATCTCATTAATTTTAATTTTATATATTTTTACACAAATATTGTTCGATTGTCTTATTTATTTAAGCACGGAAATACAATAACTTGTTGCTCACAAGTTATTGGTACCCAAATCTGTATCGTTAAGGATGGCAATAATTTTCGTAGGAGAAAGAGTCGTGATCATATTAGAAAAGAGGGTAGGTTGTAACTTACACAGAGTGTAAAAGTGATGGTGACTTGTTATCCATTAACCCCATAAAAGGGTCGAGAGAGAAAGTGCATGACCTAATACACCAAAAAGACGTCCACGAAAAAACCAACTAGATAGAAACAAGATTGGAATCAGCATAAGCTCAATAGGAGCAATATCGAGTCCCGAACCACGACCCTAGAAATTGGAGTTACCATGAGAGTTTTGATGCCATTTAAGTGTCGATAAATGTACTATAAGAGAGTCTTGATAAGGAAATAAGCGACCCAGGAGACTATGAAGGAAGCCCACAAGATAAACGTCAAGCTCAATGAGTTTAATCAAGCTTATGCTCAAAATCAATGGAAGAAAACTCAAATTGACGCTAATAATAACGGTTTCACAAATTTTATATCAAATCGTATGAACTTTTTGAGATGCTATATGTCACAATTGCATTGTTGCGAGAGTAGGACAACGATTGTGCAGCACTTGTTCTAGCCCAACAAACAAATCACCCATGTGAAATTGGTACTTCACGGACAATATCGACTTATGCTCAAGTCCCGGGTCAAGCTTGAGAGAATGTTTTAGAAAACGTGAGCAAGAAAATACGTTAAAAATAATTTTAAAGAAAGCAATGTTATAAGCTATAAGCAAGTAGGCAACAACAACGACTTTGATCGTATATAACATGAGTAGGAAAAATTGACAACTAGGCACATCTCCTATAGTATATTTTGGGGCATTTTAGCAGTGACAAGTGTAGACAGGTGATTTGTCATGCACCTCGTATAGACACAACGTGAAATGGTAAAAGTCTATCTAATATGAAAACAAGTAAAAAGAGTTTGAGAGGGGCCTGCAACCATAAACAACATGTCTTCGATAAACATAATCAGGATATTCGACATGCGGCCCCAAGCAACACACTTTGAACAAGCATGACACTTTGAACAAGCATGACTGAGACATCCGACATGCGGCCATAGATTACGCCTTAGACAAACATGACGGTGACACCGTCCACTAAATTTGAAATTTAGAAATCTAACCATTAGTTTACAATTTAAAAAATGAGATAAACCCAAGTGGTTTTAATTTGAACTGTTTCTTGAGATCCAACTGGACCGTGGATATAACCGTTTCCCGAGTTCGGTAAGAGCCCTTCTCCTCTCTTTTTGCGACTCTGTTTTTTTTCTTGTTCAAATGGTTTCTGGAAGAATTAGAAACCTGCACTACATTTGATTTTGTTTTAATTTCTCCACCAAATCCTTACAGGTATGAGTTAAATTTCTTTTTCCATACTTTTTCCTCAAGCAAAAGAAAATCACGCTTCCGTTCCACGTTTTTTTTTCTCCAAATTTCTCGTTCTTAGGGATTACCGCCCTCTAATCGGAAATCGGAAATCGGAAATCGGAAATCGGAAATCGGAAATCGGAAATCACTCTGCATTATCTTGACTCCACGGTAGAGAGATCTTATTGATGTTGATTCTCTGCGTTTTCTTATCGTTGTAGATGGCGAAGAGAATAAGCGAAGGTAGAATTGCTGCGATGTGGACGGTGGTGACAGAGGCTTTGATTGGGATGGTGCTGATTTTGGTTGCGGAAGGGACGGATACTAATGATGTATACAGTCCTTGTTTGGATGCGAAGATTCAGAGATTAGACGGATTTACTTTTGGCGTAGCGTTTTCATCGAAGGAATCGTTCTTTCATGATCATATTCAGTTTTCGCCTTGCGATAAGCGTTTGGCTTTGACATTCAAAGTCGCTCAACTTGCTGTTTTCAGGCCTAAAGTCGACCAGCTCACTTTCCTCACCATCAATAGCACAGCCTTCAATCCGGTACGTCTGTGATTTCTATGTTAGTTTCAGAACAAAATGTTCATCCATTACTGTTTTCGTCGATGAAAATTTGCTCCATTCATTTCGTTTCTTTCTCTGATTTGTGGTAATTAATGGATGTAAGTATGATGCAGTGCTAATAATAAGCCAATCCATGATGGATCAATGGGAGTTATACCATTTAGAAACAAAATTCCAACCAACTTTAAATAACTTCGCATAAAATGTTGCCCTTTGACATATCTAGTTAGCAGTTGGATGCATTTATAAAGCTGGCGTACACATTAAAGAACAACAATATTTCCATTGGTCAAATCATGGGTGTGTCACTAACTTTTTTGAATGTTTTCCTTGAACAAGAAATAATGGAATATTTTGGTATTTGGGCTTCCGATTGTAAACCCAGATCCACCGCTACCACCGCTAGCAGGTATTGTCCTCTTTGAACTTTTTATTTCGAGCTTCCCCTCAAGGCTTTAAAACGCGTTTGCTAGTGGAAGGTTTTCACACCCTTATAAATAGTGGTTTGTTCTCCTCCCCAACCAATGTGGAACATCACAATCCACCCCCCGAGGCCCAGCGTCCTCGCTAGCACTCTCCCCTCAAGGCTTTAAAACGCGTTTGCTAGTGGAAGGTTTCCACACCCTTATAAATAGTGGTTTGTTCTCCTCCCCAACCAATGTGGAACATCACAATCCACCCCCCGAGGCCGTCCTCGCTAGCACTCTTTCCTTCCTCCAATTGATGTGGGACCACCCCCAAATCCACCCCCTTTGGGGCCAGCGTCCTGACACATCGTCCGATGTCTGGCTCTGATACCATTTATAACGACCCAGATCCACCGCTAGCAGCTCTGATACCATTTATAACGACCCAGATCCACCGCTAGCAGCTCTGATACCATTTATAACGACCCAGATCCACCGCTAGCAGGTATTATCCTCTTTGGGCTTTCCATTTCGGGCTTCACCTCAAGGCTTTAAAACGCGTCTAGGGGAAAGTTTTCACACCCTTATAAATGATGGTTTGTTCTCCTCCCCAACCAATGTGGGACATCACAATGCGGTATGAAATTTCGGTTAGGAATAACGACTCTCCACATATCCACATATTGTCCACTAAGTATAAGCTCTCATGGTTTTGCTTTGGACTATCCAAATGCTCAATGGAAATAGTACTCAATGAAAATAGTATTCCTTTCTTATAAACCCATGATCCTCCACTAAACTAACCAACGTGGGACTCTCTCCCAACAATCTCAATAATTTCATGATGATTTTTGCTCGGTTGTAGGCTACGTACGGTGGCTATATGGTGGCATTTGCTGGGCTGAAGTATGCAGCAAGGTCTCTCCCAGTGATGGTTACTGATAACTCTCACACCATTACTAGTTTCACTTTGGTAAGCCCACAAAGGACAGAAAGCAAAAGTGAAAAATCACCATCTTAATGGTAACAAAAGGGTTCTATTCTCCTTGTGTCTGTCTATATTGCTTTCCAGGTTTTTGAATTTCAAAAGGGCACTCTTCAAAATCTGTTCTGGAAGAAATTTGGGTGTGATAAATGCTCTGGGGATTTTTCAACTTGCCTGGATAAACAAGACTGTGCAGTTTCCAGCTCCAAATGTAAGTACGATGGTGGTTCAATTGACTGCAATTTAGGCATACAACTAGCATTTTCAGGGACAGACAAGAACCTCCAAGTCCTCAACTCCTGGTTTGAAGTTAACCATCTCAGACGCTTCTCCCTCTATAAACTTTTCTCCGACGTTCGCGATAAGATCACCAATCCGTTCCAGTGAGAATCTTTTATATCTTCAGCTCTGTAGGCAAGGATCCAATATGAGTTATGATCTGCACATGTCAAGATGGCTTATTCATAGGAAAGGTTATGTTGTCATTGGTCCATGCTCTGTAACTGTACAATCTTGAAGATTCAATCTATATATATATAGAGAGAGTTAAAATGTATTCTGCAGAAATGAGATTACGGACCATTGAAGATGGAAAGGTTTCTACACAAAAGATACAGATCTGAGGGGATATCTTTATCCCTTTTCTATCTAATCACCACCACAAAATCGAATGATCTTGATCAAAGATCGAGTTCTCGTCAAGATCATGTCCAAAAAGAGATTCATATCCACTGGGATGTCAATCAAAAAACAATTCTCTGATCCCAACTGTTAGAATTCAACCAAACCAAATCTTCTTCTCCTCCAATCCACCATTGCCATTTACAGCTACTTTTCCTTCTTTCTCATGCCATTCTAGTAAAAATGCTCACTTCTCTGAAAATTTAGCTTGTTCCATTTTACCTTCAAAGCCATGGATGTTGACAGAGGAAAGGGAATCGTCACGCTCCAGTGGTTGGTTCGCCAAAGCTTGTGAACTATCTACAGAACCTACACCTTTCTGGTTCAGTGGAGCACCGCGAGTTTGAATGAGATAATGTGCCACAGACTTGAAACCCAAGTTCCGAGCCTGAAAGTAAAATGAAATTAGCTTTTCGTTGACATTACTAATCGATATGATTCCTGAAGACCAAACAATCACTACTCAAAAACTTTCCTTACAAAAGGTTACATCATTTCTGAAAATCTAGAAGGAAAACGTTTGTATATGTACGTAAATGCACGAGTACTAACCTTTCTATATATCGCACCGGTAGGCATCCATCCTTTTAATTGTCGACACAAACTGCAGTTGCAAATACCACGACACACTGGGCAGTTCCAATTGGGATTCATACTCACTTCCATCACATTCTCTCCATATCTATATAAAGATATAAGTTGCATACAGCTAACTGTTCATATAAATTGCAGAAAAGGGCAAGAAGCCCAATGCATGTTCTCAATAGAACCAAATGAATCCACAAGGAAATACAATATGATTGCAGCATATAAATTCATATCAGGTAGAAGTTTCAAATGGGCATGAATCCAATCCAATCCAAGATCTTTAACAATAAGTTAAATTACCAGAGGCTTCTAGTATCCTTCAAATCTTTTTTGTATTTATGGTTAAGTTAAATTACCTAAACTTTCATGTTTGTGTCTATTCAGTCCGAAACTCTAAAATGTTTCCATAGGTCCTTGAACTTCGAGATTTATGTCTATTTGATCCCTAAATCTTAAAAAGTGTCTAAGACCCAACAAGACACAAAATTGAAAGTTTATAAACCGATCAGACATTTTTAAAGTTCAGAAAGACACTTTTCAAAAGTTTAAGATCAAGTGACTATATTGATTTACCGCGTGTACAAGCAATCTCCACATAACTGCCCTTGGCCTGATTTACATTTGCTGCAATGTGTATGGTGACCAAGAGTCTTCTGCCTGCAGGTCATCACATAGATCGTCTCAACTGATGAGTAATAACGACACTATCGAAAACCAAGTGAAGAATGTAAGAACCATGAGATTTTAGAAAATATAAGAGACGAGCACATGGACGTCTTTTCAATGTACCTATGACCAACCTAGTGAGATATGAATAAAAACTTCTTAAAAAGTTCTCCTAAATAGGTGGTAAAAATGACATCAGAGCCAGATACCAGATGGTGTGCTAGCAAGGACGCTGGGCCTCTAAAGAGGTGGATTGTGAGATCCCACATCGATTGAAGAGGGGAATGAAATACCTCTCCCTAGCAGATGTGTTATAAAACCGTGAGCTGACGGTGATACGTAACGAGCTAAAGTGGACAATATCTGCTAGTGGTGGATTTGGACTATTACAAATACAAATAAACCATATTGAAAAGTAGGAGGCTAAGAGCTACTATTTACTAGTGTGGAGGGAAGTTTTATTCATTGCTATTCAGTCTAAGTGGGTCAAAAACATTTCTTTTCTCAAACAACCTTGTGCCTATCTAGGAAAGAAAGGTAAAAAAAATCCTCGAGATTGCATACAGATTATTATTTGGACCAGTAATTAAACACTTACTACCAACATCATATATACATAACAAAAATGAATTGAGTAAACATCGTCTTGTCATTAAAGTATATTCGAAGAAACAAAAGGAAATTAAAAACTTGTATTACCTGCATTGATGGCACGACTCTCCATTGATAGGATCATACATACGCTTCCCGTCTTGATCATATCCATCCACACCAACAGTCCAACTCGACTCACAATCTCCCAACAATTTGGCATCTTCTTCTGTGTAAACTTCTGGTTGCGAGCCTTCTTTTATGTGAATCTCATTACTTTTAGAACTTCCGCTCTTAGTTTTCGGACGAAGCTCCATGTAACTTATTGGAGTCAATGTCTTCAACCTGCAAATCACTATCAAATATTGTCCTATTTGAACTTTCTCTTCTGGGTTTCCCCTCAAACTTTTAAAACGCGTTCACTAGGAAGAGGTTTCCACATCCTTATAAGGAATGCTTCGTTCCACTCTCCAACCAATGTGAGATCTCACAATCCACCCTCCTTGGGGGTCCAATATCCTCGCTGGCACACCGCTCGGTGTTTGGCTATGATACCATTTGTAATAGTCCAAGCTCACTACGAGCAGATATTGTCCTATTTGGGCTTTCCCTTAAGGTTTTAAAATGCGTCCACTAGAAAGAGGTTTCTACATCCTTATAAGGAAGCATTCGTTCCCTTCTCCAACCAATGTACAATCTCACATCCACAAACTTACCTCTTGGCAAAATGTTAATTTATTGCCAATTATATTCTCTCTCAAGTCCAGATCTTCAATGATCTTAGCAATTAAACTCTAGGTTTGTATATTTGATAGCTATGTTCATTGTTACTTGTTCTACCTTGATCCATAGGCTTCTAAGAAAATTAGAGTAATTCTGACTGTACCTCAAAATCTTGTGATAGTGTAAAGACATGCCAAGGAAGGTTCATTTTCATGCAACGAAGTCTAAACATGTTAATGAGCAGATATCAATAGCTTAATAGATATTACATTCATCACTCACTCAACGCAAGGAGCATCGAAAGAACAAAAGCTTCAACACGTGAAGGAAAGAAGAAACAATACCTCGAAGAGCGCCTCGGGGGCTCGTCGGCGGGGGATCCGTTCGGCGGTTCCTTCTCTGAGGAATTTTTGCGTAACCGCTTCGAAGCGGCGGCGGTGGACTTAAGCTTGAGAGAAAGTTCAACAATGCCAAGTTTCTGCATCCTCTTCAGATTTTCCTTAACCCTTTGATCCCTAAGCTGCTCGTAACCTGGAGCAGTAACCTCAGCCGCGGATCCTTCATCGACGGTCTCATTTCCGGCAGCGGCGACTCCTCCTCCGCGGCTCTTTCTCCGAGAAACCATTGCCGCTCCGTCGCCGAAGAAATGGCGAGAAGATTGTCGCGGGATTGGGGGAATTCTTTAAACAAATTGCCGCCAAGTTATTAGCAGAATCCATTGCACAAAATTACCCCTCCATTAATGGCAAATGTATGCTAATAAATAAATAAATATATTTTTGTTTGAGCATTTGAAACTTTTAATAATACCATTAAATTTCCAAAAATAATAATAATAATATCCATAACTTTTTTAAAGAAAAAAAATTTAAAATATTAGAGAAAATCATTAGTATTTTATTTCAAAAGTACCATAAAATTTTAATTTTTTTTATTAAACTCTTAAATTTATTAAAATGAATTTATAATACCTTTAAATTTTTCTTAAAAAATTTTAAAAGATATATCACATTTCAAAAATACTCGTGAAGTTTCAAAACTAACATTAAAAAATTTAGAGATTAACTATGAAGTGTCGATAGATGATTTTCGTTCGTAACAATTTTTTGAACTATTAATTATAAAGGCAAAAATTCTTAATATTACTTTTAAAATTTCATAAATATTTTTTAAACATAGTTTAATGATATTTTTTTGAATCTTTTACAAAAATCAAAAGAATATTCCTAAAAAATTTTAAAGTTCAGAGTTATTTCTTAAATATTAAAATTTTAAGGATGTTATTTTAAGTACATTATTAATTCCAAACTAACTGAATTTTTTTTTTTTTTTTTTTGAAATCTAAAGATATTTTTAAAATAATGTATAAAATTAATAATATAAGTGACAAAAATAATTATGAATACAAGTAGGCAAAAATGAAGGGGTCAGAGACCGCTCAATAAATGAAATGCTTAAGCATGTAAGGGTTGTTTTTATTTGAGCGAGAGTTATACCACTTGAGGTACGAGGATAAGAATGAGTTTTTTAAAAAATAAAATAAAAAATAAAAAATAAACAAAAGCGCATTTACTTGTTGGCTAAACTACTTTTGTCCATGTCCACAACAGTCCACTCATCAATGCCTTTAATGTCTCATTGGTCAAACTATGCTCAACTTTTCTTCACCAGTCAAACTATGGAGATTTGAAAGTCAATTAAATTTTACCAAATTTGCAAAATCAACCCTACAATTTTGGTATTTCTTTTACGATCCTCTATTAGCTACACGGGGATGGAGACAGAGACGAGGATCGCATTCTCCGTCCCTGTCTCCAATTCCAACCTTGCTCTATTCTGCTCTGCTTTTTAATAAGTTGGTTTCGTGCTTTAATTATATTATAATAAATAAATATTTTTTAAAGCATGGAAATTTAAACCATATTAAAATATTTTACATTTTTTTAACTAAAATTATATTAAAAATAGAGATTATTCATGAATATTTATATATATATATAAAATAATAATAGGAGAAAAAACTAGTAATTGAGTAGAAGGGGTTGATTGCAATTTTAATAAAGTTTAGAGGCGGATTACAATATTCAGCAAAGTTCAGGAGTTAATTGATTAAATTGAAAAGTTAAGGGGTGATTGTAGCAAATGTTATTATTGAGGGGTGGGTTTTGCAATTTTTCCAAAATTATTTTGAAATAAAACCCCAAATCGTACATTTCAAAAACCCAAAAAAGAGAAAAAAAGAAAAAGAAAATGAAATATTTGAATATCCTCATCTTCTTCCTCTTCCTTTCTTCTACAGTAACCCTA